AGGGCCGCCAAAAGAGAAGCTGGAGGGCGCCGTGGTTCGCGAGGTGTTATCACTGGCACAGGAAGACAGGCCTGAAAACTCCGCCGCCACCTCTTCCTGGCCAACGTGGCGACCGGTTTTGTTCACCGCACACCCCATCATCGATGGGACGGGCGGTTGGAGGGCATTGGCCCTGGTAGAATCTGTGCCGCTGCGGCGGTGACGGTCGTCGTTGTCGTCTTCGCTGACATAACCACTTGGCGGCTCCTGCTGCTCCCTCGGCAGGGGGGAGGTGGTGTGCAGGGAGGTGCAGCTTCTGCCCGTGAGATCCCCAGCGCCAGGGTCGTCGACTTTGTTATCGGGACTACGGACGGAGGATTTGAGTGAGGCGATTCCCGAGGTAGCGCCACCACCGGTCTCAGTGGGTGAGGGTCCGGTGGTCTCGTTCTTGGTAGTTTGCGGAGAGGCCTGAGGGCAAAACAACGCGTGCATTTCGGTGAGCTTTGATAATACTAATTGGGAACCGGGTAGGACTAAACGAGTGGAACGCTTAAATACAGCATAAGCGGCGAGAAAGTGGACACAGAAATAGACCAAGGACACAGTCCTTACTAATTATGGTTTCAGTGGTGGTGTTTTAATATCTAGTCTGTGTATATGTAAGATCACTATTCCGCCCAAAACGCGAGCATGTAGGTGGGCTTTGATGCTACTAGAAGAAGGCCGAGTAGGACTGATGGACAAGCATGCAGCCACAACGCTAATCAATTCCTCAGTTTCTGTGCTAGGCCGATGCCCAAAAAGCCCAGGATATGTTCTCGAAGTGGATTGCGGACTTGCGGTTAAAGTTTTTGGCCCACTTCCACTAAAGTGCTCGCTAGATGCGTCGAAGCTTAAATACAATAAAAGCGGCGACAAAGTGAACACAGGCATGGAGAAAGGACACAGTGTTGTGTTTTAATATCTAGTCGGTGTATATGCAGGATCTATATTCCGCCCAAAACCAGTCTAATAGCGGTCGAGCTAAGGCCAGCGACAGGGAAGCCCGAGCCCTCTTTCATTGTCTGGAAAAAAAAGATGCTTGGCATGGCCCGTTCAAGTTGCGTTGTGGCCGAATGCGCACAAGGCAGTTTGCCAAGTACGTGTTGACGCACTTTTCAGCCACTAACGTAGTCGCCCGAGCGCGTTCACATGCGCGAGATTTACGTCAACTGACTA